TAAGTACCTAAACTCCTGCACCTTCACCACCTCTGCTCCTTGTAACCTCACTATTTCACTGTTCTCCCTTTCGTTTACACACATGTACTCTGTCTTGCTGCGGCTGACCTTCATTCCTCTTCTTTCTAGTGCAAACCTCTACTTCTCTTTCTCGCCTATTGTGTTTGCTATTGTTGGCAAATTTTGTTGAAGTGAATGGGTCACGCTCTGTTTGGCCCCCAACTCACCTCTTTCCTCCTGAGCCACAGCCAAAAGCTGCCCTTCTCTGCCTCTTCTGCCAGTTCCCTCATGGCTTCCCTGCACCCTGCTCCTGTGCATCCCATGTCGTGGAGCAGGTGTACAGTTGAGGACCCGACGAAGTCACTGCATCCTACTTCAACAGGGCGCATGATAGTTTTCCAGCCAACCTCTCTGCATTCTGCTGCCAAGTCTGCATACTTTGCATGTTTCCGCTCGTTAGCAGCCTCCATGCCTTCCTCCCATGGGACGGTAAGCTCCACCATCTGAATGGTCCTGCGTGGTTCTGACCACATGATCAGATCTGGCCGGAGCGAAGTTTCTGTGATCTCCCTGGGGAATTGGAGCTGCTTCCCCAGGTCGGCCCTCATCGACCACTCACTGCCTGGTGAGAGTGCCATTGGTGTTACTCTCTGGCAAGAAAGGGTGGCGTCCTCTCCGGCCTTTGCAAATTGTATCAGAGGTGTTGCTGAGGTGGAAGGTCTGTTGTTGGCCTCCTGTCTGCATGACTACGCCAACTCTGCCAGCTTTCTTAACACCAGGTCATGACGCCACCTGTAGCGGCCTTGGGACAATGCGGTCTTACAGCCTGACAGGATATGCTGGAGGCTTGCATTGCCAGTGCTGCACAGGGCACAGGATTCTTCCGCCCCAAACCACACGTGGAGATTTCTGGGACAAGGCAGGGTATCGTAGGACAACCTGATCTTGAAGCTGAGCCTGGCCGGGGGGACTTTCCATATATCTGCCCTAGGAAAGAGTAGTTGAAGCTAGGTTGAGGCAGGAAGTGGAGATTTGTGAACAACAGTATGGTTTCATGCCTAGGAAGAGTACCACAGATGCAATATTTGCCTTGAGGATGTTGATGGAGAAGTACAGGGAAGGTCAGAAGGAGCTGCATTGTGTATTTGTAGATCTAGAAAAGGCATATGACAAAGTGCCAAGGGAGGAATTGTGGTTTTGTATGAGGAAGTCAGGAGTGGCAGAGAAGTATGTTAGTTTGGTGCAGGACATGTATGAGAATAGTACAACAGTAGTGAGGTGCGCTGTTGGGAGGACAGAAGACTTCAAAGTGGAGGTGGGACTACATCAAGGATCGGCCCTGAGCCCCTTCTTGTTTGCTGTGGTGATGGACAGATTGACAGATGAGGTCAGACAGGAGTCCCCATGGACTATGATGTTTGCAGATGACATTGTGATCTGTAGTGAGAGTAGGCAGCAGCTAGAAGAGAACCTAGAGAGGTGGAGGTTTGCACTAGAAAGAAGAGGAATGAAGGTCAGTCGCAGCAAGACAGAGTACATGTGTGTAAACGAAAGGCAGAACAGTGAAATAGTGAGGCTACAAGGAGCAGAGGTGGTGAAGGTGCAGGAGTTTAGGTACTTAGGATCAACTGTTCAGAGCAGCGGAGACTGTGGAAGAGAGGTGAAGAATAGAGTACAGGCAGGATGGAACAGCTGGAGAAAAGTGTCAGGAGTGATCTGTGACAGAAGAGTGTCAGCTAAGGTGAAGGGAAAGGTTTACAGGACAGTGGTGAGACCAGCCATGATGTATGGTTTAGAGACAGTAGCAATAGGCAGAAGACAGGAGGAGGAGCTGGAGGTGGCAGAGTTAAAGATGCTAAGATTCTCTTTAGGAGTGACAAGAATGGACAGGGTCAGGAATGAGGTCATTAGAGGGACAACACAGACAGGAAGGTTTGGAGAAAAAGCTAGAGAAGCCAGATTGAGATGGTTTGGACATGTGCAGAGGAGGGACAGTGGATACATTGGTAGAAGAATGTTAGAGATGGAGCTACCAGGTAGGAGAAAGAGAGGAAGGCCAAAGAGGCGATATAGGGATGTAGTGAGGGAGGACATGCAGATAATTGGAGTCAGAGTAGAAGATGCAGAGAACAGGGAGAGATGGAAATCAATGATTTGCTGTGGCAACCCCTGAAAAAAAGGGACAAAGCCGAAAGAAAAAGTCCTTGCCAGGGACCTGTCTGTAACACCTTCAAGTTGAGGTTTCTGCGTGCTGTTAGCTTTACTTGGTCCTTGCGTAACGTCATTCCTGAGAAGTACGCTCTACTCTAATTGCACCTGCGCACAGGATTGGCAGTCAGGAATAATATCCACACAAATGATCACTCTGAATATTTCCTTTGTTTTTCACTTGCAGCGAAAGCTCTGGAAAGATGTCCAAGTGGGCCGTGAGAGAATAATTGTGATCCACCGATGAGGGCTCTATACCGCAAACAGGAACTTTAACTTGACACGCACGATTATTTTAGTCCATTAAGATCTGTGCAAACTTAGGTTCTTACATGTCAGCTCATAAAAATGTGTTGAAATATTTTTTTATATTTAAATTGATTAAGGATAACTGTCTGAAGCAAAGATGGATTTCAATCAAGAAGCTAAGAAGGTTACAGATGGCCTAAGGCTGAAGGGTTTAACATTGTGTGGCTGTCAGTGGTCTGGTCACGGACAGACCAAATGGTTAAACTTGGCCTCCTTCCATAACTTGTCTTTTGATCTTGGTAGTAAAGTCTGAAGAATGAACACACGGTCTGCTCCTCCTCTGATTAAGGGCTAAGGTGGCCTAGCTACTACCTTGTTGTAAAAAAAAACAACCACTCCATTGCGAAAAAGATTGCTCCATGTGTATGTCTTTAGGTGAATTTAGTGTGTTTACATGTTCATACAATGTTTGTGTAAATGTATACACAACTGTGCAAGTGCCCAGAGTGAGCATCAAATATGTTTATGTGTGTCCTTGGAAACCTGTCGGATAAGAAGGAGGAGGAGGAAAAAAAGGAGGTGAGCAGTGTGAAGGATGGAAAAAAAATGTCTAATGTTTTATAGGTTTAGAGTGGGAGCAAGTTGCCCTAGCAACTTTGTGTCCTTCCCTCATCTAGCATTGGCGTCTGGGAAAGCTTGACTGGACTAAACAGAGGTCGTCCTGACAAAACTGTACAAGACAAACTCTGATGATTGGGCTACAGTAACACAGTTAACACAATAGAGAATCATTAGATAAGTCAAGGAAAATATTTTGTGTTTTCACTGAAACCGTTCACTGACACTGGTGTAAATGACAGTTTTTTTAATCCACTTATTCATGGACTTTAAAAAAAAGATAAAAAAGTTTTGAATCAAATTGGAAACTAAAGTAGTGTCTAAGGTATTCTGGACAACATCTGCAGCTGTTTTATTCTGTCTTTGTTTTTGGTTTCCCTGCAAGCATCATCAGAGGTGTGTCAGCAGGGTCTGCTTTTAGCTTGTTTAATCAAACACTTACTATGATGCCAGCCGTCCATGGGTTAAGCAAGAAGAGGGCGCACACCAGAAATGTACAGGCGAGCCCCACACTGAGGGAGAGCGGGAGCCAATGGCGCAGACTGACGTACTGTTCCCAGAATAGGAACGGGTACCCGTTAGGGTAAGAGGGCAGGCCTTGAAGGCTGTAGTTGCTGCAAATTGCCCGCACGCTTTCGATGGCCTCCACGAACTGTGGGGTCTCGCGGAGACCGTTGAGGTAGAAGGGGAACTGTGCGTACTCGATGGGCTCTGCAGCTGGAACTGAGATAAAAAAGACAAGAACAGGACAGGTGAGGAAAAAAACCTGCAGCAACTTCATAATGAGTTTAAGTCAGTGGCAACAGTGACATCTGCAGATGACTTTGTCCACTCTGATCAAAAGCCATAAGAATCTGATCATTACAAGTCTCTGCAGAAATAATTTTCCCTCCTGAGCCAAACCACCAACATCAAGGCTTTTCCTTCCTTAATCCAAAAGTTCCAAGAGTAACTGAGCAAGTGTGTGTATGTGTGTGTGTTTGTGTGTGTGTGTGTAAGTGACAGAAGAGCACCACAAAACAGAGCTCCATTGACTTAGACTCAGCCAGTCTGTCGCCCAGCTTGGCTAATGAGCGACTATCATTAAAAGACACAGCAGCGTGTCAGAGCAAATGTTGATTCACCTATTACGGCGTCGGAATTACCGCCATTACCACACCCTAAACTTTGCAGCACCACTGAAAAAAGCATAGAACACAAGCAAAAACACACATGTACCTGTTTGTCATTCAACTGCATGAAGTCATCATTGGAGCTGACTCCATTCAAACCATTTAAATGTTGTTCTCCATACCAGGGTAGTGACACATAAGAACAAAAAATAAGAAGTACGACTGATGCTGAAATTAATGTTTTGAATTATTGTATTGTTTTGAAACAATAATGCAATAAACAGTTATTTGGACACTAGGAACAACTGAGAAGCTCTTCTTTAAATCACATATTTACTGTTTGGTAAATACGACTGCAATTTTACAGGAGGAGGAGAATTTATTGTGTAGAAGACCTGATCTGTCCAACAAGCAGTAGTTGATTCTGATGTAAGAGTCTAATATGGACTGAAAGCTTGTAAAATGCATGTTTGGTATTATTATTGTCTTGTCTGTAAATATGTGGATTTTCTTAAGAACTACTTTCTTTGCTTTAAAATTACAGTACAGGCCTCAGCATCATGTCAACCATGCATTTCAACAAATTTCAAACATAAAAGGTGGGTTTAACATTTCTTTGTAATAATATCCCAAAAAGATAGGCACTTACAGTAAGTACAACAAAACTCTTAAGTCCACTTCAGATAAACTTCAGCCGAGGGCACAAACATTCTTCATAGTTTTCTTTCACTATAGTCTCTTAGAGCATAGTGGCTTTCTGCATCAAACCAATGTTGAAACCTAGTCATTGTGTTGTCATTGTGCTGACCCCCAGGACTTCCTGCTTGTTATCCAATTGTGCCTCCCGCCAAAAATCAGTCTCTCTTTGTTATCCAATCATTGTCCTCCCCGGTGGGGAACTTCCTGACTTGTACCAAATCACAGGCTAGAATCAAACATCAACACAAATGTTCTCTTTTTATACCAAGAAGGGTTTGTGTGTGTGTGTGTGTGTGTGGTAGGGAAAATGAGACACAGAGTGTGTGTGCAGTGGGGGGTCAGTGGGCTTTAATAAGGTTTGTGTGTGTGTGTGGATGTGTGTGTGTGCAATGCCAGGACCCCCTGGTAGCCATGATTATATTATGGCTCGGGAAACACTGCCTATGTGAAGCAACTGTACAGTCTCACACCAGTGTCTAATCGATGCTTTCCCACTGTATATTTTTCTGAACCTTATTCAGACTTACTGCTGAGGGATGTCTCTGGCATAGAGTCTGTGCGGTCATGAATCCACTCTGGAAGCTGTGGACGGATGTTGGCCTGTGAGGCAGCATAGGCCACAGGGTCATTGCTGACCCAGGCTGTCAGGTAAATGTAGAAAGCTCCAGGGTTGATGATCCCATCTGCATCTACAAGCCTCTGGCGAGTTAACTTAAAATAGAAGAGAGAAGATGGATTAGTGAACTAAGGTAGGTAATAAGGAGGAACGAATATGACAGCACACCATTGGCAAGTTATACTGTGTTTACACTGGGAAATGAAAAGGGAGATTTGAAAAGTGGAAAATGTTTGAAAATAATTAGGGTCCTACTTAGGAAACTGTAACACGAATATTATATACATACATGACACAAAAGGGTACTGTTTAAATAGACATGCTAAAACCAAAACATTGTGCAGGTGAGCAGACCAAACGTGCTTATTTATACACTTAAATAAGAGTAAGTCGTTGCGAAATCCCAGGTGAGGCAGCGGCGAGTTGTGCTTCACATCTGACTACGCGATCCAATACAAACTGGGTCACATGACCCGGGCCCGTTACTGTTCCAGCTAATAAAGTGCAGAGAACAGTTAGCAGGGGAGGCAAACAGTGCTCTGCCTCACCTCAAGGGGTCGGACGTGAACTGAAAGTCAGGGTCAAGCTAGAGCCAGTAGTAGCTTAAGAACAGCTTTTCTATGCTCTGTCTGATCCGACTCACTATGGATTGTATATCAAGACGGAAATATTTTTCAAAGCTGGACTTCTGGTCCAAACAGAAGATGATTAGTGATGGAAGACCAACACCGGAGCTAAAAGGTTAGCTTCAAACTACGGGACAGAAGAGTCGTTATGCTGTAGGATAAACAGTGAAATAAGATGCTCTTTTTGGTTCTTACAATTGTAAATCTGATTCCAGAGGAGTCAGTGCCTCATCAGTGTAGGTACTACTACAGTCCTTTTAAGGACTCTAACTCCCATAATTCCTCTGCTTCCGGTAAATCTACATACGTCACGATCAGTAACCTCCGCAACCTTTAAATTGGGGGATCAGCCCCAATTTCAGTCTCTCTGTTCAGGACTTTCGCTCCGTAGGACCCTGATGAAAAGAGAAACCTGCTCGTCTCAGAAGACTAACAACCAACGCGCTTTTGAAGACATCATTGCCCACGGTGATAAATGCTTTAGTAGCGTCTTTTTCTTAACTGAGTTATTAAGTTACACAAGTAACGTAGCGCTGCGACCAAAGCAGTTATTGAAAAGTTTAGAAGCGACAGGATTCCTTC